CTGTGAAAAATAGATCCCCTTCCTCAAACCCCCAGAAGGCAGCACAGGAAGTGTAGGATGTGCACCGTTTCCCCTGCAGTCTCAAGCAACAGAAGGTTGATGACAATACCCAAGTTGTCCACTGGGCGCATGGTGATACCCAGGGAGGTTGGGATGTGCTGAGGTCAAAGGTACTGATCTCTCAGGGATGGGGAGCAGCAGAGGCAAATCTCATGTGCATCACTGCAGCCTGAGCTTATCCTGCTGATTTCCAAGGTGACAGCAGAGTAGGGGAGCTTGTCACTGCCCGTAGGAGAAAAAGCAAATGTCAAAAATAAGCCCTGTGAAGGGCACCTTGAGAACATTCACTCAGCCTTGACCAACCCACAAGAATCCTGGCTGGCAGCACCCACTTGTCCCAGCTATTTGCTGGGCCAAACCCACCACACTGGACAGGCACAGACAGAAGCTGAACAATATGTCGAGGAGTGCCCGATGTGTCACTGTTACAGCCACAGCCTGACACTCATCCATACCTCATCCCACAGAGGCCAGGCCTTATCATGGATTGCTGGTCCCCACCTCACAGAAATGTCTTTGTGACTTTCTGCATCATCACTGCACACCACAGGGAGAAGAACATCCTTCCCCATTTCACAGCTATGAAACCGCCACTGCTGCCCAGGACTGGCATGGGAGCACTTCCCCACACAGACGGCTGCTTCTACGGGCAGCGGTTTGGGAGGGAGAAGCTGGGGCATCTGATAATGCCTGAGCTAATGGACAAGTTCCTGGATGTGGGCAGGGTGAGGGTGTGAGGACATGCTGAGAGCATCTTAGAGGAGGAGGTGATGAGGCACTTCAACAGGCTGCCCAGAGAAGCTGTGGATGCCGCACCACTGGAGGTGTTCAGAGCCAGGTTGGATGGGGCCCTGGGCAGCCTGATATAACGCCTAATGTAGTGGTTGGCAATCCTGCAAGCAGCAGCGGGGTTGGAACTAGATGATCTTTGAAATCCTTTCCAACACAAGCCATTTTATGATTCCATGATGCTGCCACAACCAGAAGTCTTTAACGTTGAAGCAGTGTGTATGGGTGGATGACTGCAGCTTGCCCATTTCATCAGAATGTTGGGCTTTCTCCACTGCTTTATTTTACACAGAAGTGTTCAATGCCATATGCCTTGTGGCAAAGCCACCCCATGACACCTCATCAGTACAGTGCATAGCTCCATAAATGCATGCATTAGAGCACAGCACAGAGTAGGTGCTGGGCAGGGCTCGATCCCCTGCATCCCAGCTTCTTTTTTTATGTAAAATAAAATACACATCACCAAAAAAAAAAAAAAACCACACATGGGCCAACTTCAGAGGTATTATTCCCCCTAGAAAAATTAAATACTCAGAATGCTTTTTTAAAGTGAAATGGGCCCCTTAATTTGCATCCTATAATAAGGATGTTATCACACTGCTTTATGGCTCAGCTCTTTAGTTTCTCGCTCTCAGGGGCTAGATTTTCCCTCATGAGCTCAATATACGCCTCAAATGAATGTGATTTTTAAGATGACCTTTTCCTGTGCTCCCAGAATAGCCTGTAAGAGGCTGGGGCTGTCCTGGCCATAGCAGGTGCCCAGCTCTAGCCTCCCCAACCTGCACCATGCCAAGGGTGTCTTACACTGCTTACATTTGGCTTAATTATAGAACAGTCACTGGAATATTAAAGTTTAATACACAGGAGAGAATAAGCTAGTCCAGAAAATGCATAATTTCCCTGTACCACCAGCCCTTGTCTCCTCTCTCCTGGTCCAGCACTGCTCTCCTGGCAGCACCAAAACTGCATCTGAGACAAGTGTGGCAGAGAGCAGTGGGCAGGGATGATTTTGGGTCGGGCTCTGGGCTTGCAAGGTGCCCAAACACACTGTGAGGAGTGGTGCTGTGAACCCTGCTCTGCCGTGGCTAGGATCACTCATCGCCTCCATACCTTGTTTTAAATGGCAGGGCTCTGTTCCAGGTATGCCTTTTGCCCTTCCCTGTAATAACTGCTGCAGTGGGAAGGTGCAGGCAGTACTGGGAGGGCAGGCAGCAGTTGTGCCCACAGTGGGAAGCGGCTGCTGGAAGGTGCACAGCACAGCCTGGCACAGTAAGTGTGGTGCTGCTGCTGTGGGCGGGAAGAGGTAATAGTATTCACCATGTACTAAAGGTCCATGCAAACCTGTCCACGTGGAAGGATGCTGGGCCTTGCCCATCTAGGGCCAACAGCCACACCCGGTCCTTCCACCCAGCTGGCAATGTGCACAGGGACCCACCGCCTTGGTGACGGGATCCACTGCCGCAGTGATGGGCTCCTACACCCCTCCCAGCCCCTCTCGTAGTACATTCACCTCTGCCAGCACCTCGGCAGCTGAGTGCTGCTGAGGCCACGCCAGGAAGGGGAAGGACCAAAGGCATCCTCACATCCCTGTGCTGTTCCAATTTAAAGATGCTGTAAAATGTCACAATAACTGGAAAGGCAGTAGCCCTGTTTTTATTAATAGCAAGTATTTATTAGCCTCCTCGATTTACAGTACGTTTATGAAAGCCATCAGTCCATCACATTCTTCAGCGCAGGGCTGAGTTGGTTTTCTTGATCAACACAATATGGAATATAGATCTGAATATTAGAAGCCAAATACAACCTTCATTTTGCATGCACATATCCCACCAACGGGAGGCCCGCAATTAATCCTGTATAGCCCTTAGACACATGCATTGGCAGACATTTGAGGAAGGTGGGACCTTCTGTACATCACCACTGGAAACCCACAGGGTGTCAGCTTCTCCACAGGACCACCATCGGGGCCAGAGCAATCCTGCAGTGTCCCCCTCATTACCAGGATGGTGGCATACAGATGGAAATGCCATCACCCATTCGTGCAGCCTGCGTGATGTTCGTGTGGCACATGGCACATAGTGGCTTTGCAGCTTGCCGCTCCTACAACCCACCCAGGTGCCTTGCTGAGGCCATGCTGCATCTGTCTACCTGGCCATCATCTGTTGCGCAGTGCTCCTCGTAACAGGCCAGGTGAAATTACCCTGGAACCACTACTCCCACTATCTGAGCTTTATCACCACTAAAGATGAAATAAAAATAAGAGCAACAACAAACATGCCTCTACCAGATGTGTAACCCTATCCAGCAAGGGTCGCCATTTTGGAGTGGGTGTTTTGAGTGTGTTTTTGTGGGGTTTTTTGTGAGGTTTTTTTTTTCTTTCCCACCATAATTTCATCTTTCCCAAGAAATAATGTATTGTTTGACCCCTGTGGGAGATGAATATGAGAGGGCAGCTCCTGGAGGAGACATGATCAGGGTGCACCCGATGGAAGGCAGCAAGATTTTGTTGACCTGGAAGTGGGATTGGGTACAACACAGACCCAAGTGGTGACCCATCCATAGCTGCTAGGGGAACTCCATGGGAGAAGAAGCAGAGAGTGAGGAGACTTGAACTTCAGTGCATGTTAGTGTCAGGAAAATGGGCTTAGAAATAAAATACAGCATAGACAAAATGCCCTCAGTTTGAAAGCAGCTTTTCAAGGCAAAAAAAATCAAAGCTAAGTTCCCTACCTCCCTTGATCAACCCTCAGCCATCAGATTGTGCTCTTCTTTGGACTGTTATAAATGCTGAACCTCAGGAAAGCAGACACACTGTGTATGTGGCCCAGCAGCTGCAGGTTAACACAGCTCACAGCTTTCATTTACCCTGCTATACCCAAGGATGCACACTGCCTTTCCCTGTCATGCTTTGCCGCTCCCCAGTGTCCTTCCCAGCCCTGCATGGTTCCTTTCTGCAGGACACAATGCCCACAGAAAGAGCACCACACCATGCTGCTGCACTGGGGCACAGAGCAGCTGCTCCAGCAGTGCCACAAAGCAAGCACATCATCAGGTTCTGCCTGCACTCAGACAACATGGAGCCAGAGGGCAGCCCCAGGAGCTGTTCAGCACACAGAGCCCTGGAGACAGTCGAGCAGCACCGCATGGGAGCTGCAGAGCAGCAGTTGCGGAGCAGCCAGTGCCAGGAGCACAAACTGGGGATGGAGCAGTGCAGTGCAGCTCACAACAAAACAGCCAGAGCAGAACGTGCCACAGAAGAGGCAAAGCTGTGGTACCTGCAGCAATTTTACCAGGACTGCCTGGCCCAAATCAGACTTAAGTCTGCCAGCTCGGTACCCAAGCAAGCTCTGATCCCCAACCCACAGCTGCTTTATTCTCCATTCCCACTCCACAGCACAGTCCTAGGGAGCTACAGCCCATAAATCCCACCCAAGACAGCACAAAAATACACACTTATCTTCTGTTCCACAAAGCACTTGGGAACCAACCAGTGAAGTCCTTGTCTGGGGGCTACACTTGGGGCAAGGCACGCAGGAGAGCTCTGTGGAGTGGTGGCCTGAGGCAAGGCACAGGGAGCAGTGCAGCCGGGGCAGGGCTGGGCCTCACCGGCATCAAATCTGCCCCAAATCTGTGGGCCCGGCTGGGGGCTGACTGCCAACAGTGACACAACAAAGGAGGTCACAGATCCTGTCGACCCCGAAGCACGCTGGTTAACAGCAGAAATGATAACAGCAGTCGCTATAGGTCTGTCACATATGGGCAGCAGCAGGGAGCCTGATGATGGTCACCAGGGCCAGGTGTGAGCCCTGTGGGGATGGAGCACCACTCCTGTGCATGGCGACAGTCATGGTCACTGCCCTTGGCCACTAATGGCAAAGTAAAGAAAGAGCGAACAAAACCTAAAACTCCAACATTTATTATGGTGATTGCCCACCTGCCATGGATCCACACTGTGTTTTGTTTTATTTGTAACTCATAACGTGAGGTGCACTTTATGGGAAATGGAGACAACACATGGAGCCGGGTCCTCCGCACAGGGCCAACATGTGGACAGAGTCCTCTCCTCAGGGCCAGAGACCCTGGGCAGCCCTCGACCTTGGTAGGCGTTTTTGCTTTTTTGTTCTTAGAAAAAGAAATAAACAAACAAAAACTGAACAAAAGTAGTGTTGTACTCTATTACAAAATATAAATACGACAGTCCTGCAGGCTGGAGGAGCTGGGGGACGCTGCCGTTGGCGGGATGTCAGGTGCTGCAGGTCACAGCAAGCCACAGGATGGGGACGCCTCCAGACACGTGCACTGCCAGCCGCTGGCCCCGCTTCATCTCCTCTCAAAACTTAAGTGCTCTTGAACTTCCATCCGAAAACTGCCAGGCATCCGAGGCTCCCTGGGCACCACGCCAGCTGGGGGGGTACACCGCACCTGGAGAGCATGGGGACAGAGGAGAGGACAAGTGTGACACGGACCAGAGTGCAACTCCTGCCCCTATTGTCTTCCCTAAGCAGCGAGGGGTGAAAGCTGCCCCCAGTCCCACACCCTTTGCCAGAACCCTCTGCTCACTGCTAAGGCTCTAGACAGACCAAGCCCACCTGCCTCACCACTGATCCCCACATCTCGTTGACCTCCCCCAGCACCAGAACAAATCCCTCCCCAAGCTATCCCCAAGCACTGCGCTGCTGACCCTGCACCACCTGTTAAGATGCATCCAGAGCACTGGCACCACAAGCCCCACACCGTGCATGGGGCACCGCTTCTATGGGATCATTTTGATCATGCTTAGGAGCTTAGCCACAGTGCTGTTGCAGGGCTATATGTGGACGACCCACCAGCCGCATCCCCCCAGTGTGCTGGGGTGGTTGCCCCACACCTAGAGCACATGCTGCACCTCACAAAGGAAAACCCTTTGTTTGTTCTGTTTACTCTGAATCTGACCTGTTTCAGTTTGACTTGCGGCAGCGTCAGGGGCCAAGCACACCGCAATCACTCAGGGCCAGTGGAGCCCATTCTAGCACAGGACAGTGGGTGCCGGAGGCTCTACATTGCACTTGTGGGGCCTGGCTGTGATTCTGCCTGCTGCATCACGCTCCTGAACGGTACTGTGACCTTCCCATACAGCCTCCAAAAACAGTTCTAAGCATTTATGGGGGAAAACATACAACCGGAGCACGCACGAGCTGTAGCAACAGCTGGCATCTCTTTGCTTGCTGTAGAAACCGCACTCCAATAAACCCTGAAACTGTATTTCACCAGACAGCCACAGCCTCCAAGGCCAAGCAAAATCATGGGATTGCTTATTCCTGTATTTGTTTCAACGCTTGGAAACATAATAAATACGAAACATCTGTAGCCTGAATTCCTGATACTGTTTCAGTGCCTTCATTCTATAAATCACTCAATTTAGAGAATATTAAATATTTATGGCAATGGGTCTCTCCAGCGGATGGGGTCTGAGCTATGATCGGCAGCAATGGTGCTACCGAACACTGCTCTCAGGTACAGAGATGTAGAAATTCTGAGGCTCCTGGAGCACAGGCTACGCTGTGCCTGGGCTCCGCACCGCTGGGAAATACTGTGGCTCTGTGGCTTCAGTTTCAGCATTCAGGCTGCAGCCACGGGACTGTGCTCCTGGAGGGCTGAGCGCAAACCAAGCGCTGCCCAACACAAGAGCCATCGCCATCAAGGCACACTTTCCACCCTTGCATGTGTTAGTGGTGCATTGCACGTGGCCCATTCAAGCCTCTATGGGGCACGTGACTATCGCCTACGTGAAAGGTAGAACAGAGAAACCTGCAGCTCCCTTGGGCAGCCCCACTCTGGTCTCCCTTCCTCCTGGCTGGGGCTAAAACTGAGCTTTCCTCTTTTAACTCAGAGACGCTGTCATTTTTCATACATAGGTGACACGCAACCTTTCCCATCTACATCCCAACTCCCCCTTTGGAAGGGCGAAATACAGGCAATGAATGATGCCATCACAAGGAGACGACAGAACAACTGGAAAGCTTCACAGAAACCAAATGAAAAAAGAATAAATAAACAAGTAAATAAACAAATAGATAAATAAATAAAAAGAAAAGCGTTCAAATCCAAAGTTACAGTTGGAACAGCAAGAGACAGAACCACAGAGGTGGGTGCTTGGCCACGAGGTGCTGCGCACGCGGCACTGGTAGAACACAGCACAAAGGGTGCTGTGGGCCTGGAGCCCGGAGGTTAAGGTCCCACAAACCCGCGCTTCTGTTCAAAAAGGCCCAGGGGGGGCCACCCTGCCTGGCCCAGAGAGGCACGAGGGCCCGGACACCTCCAGAGCGGCCGAGCCGCCGCCTGCTGCTGCGGCCCAGGGCTGCGCCTGTGCCGAATGAGGACGCCGGAGCGACAGTGTGTACTTTAAGGTTTTTTTTTTATTTTTTTTTTTCAATAAAAGGACAAAATGGGTGTATGAACAGGATAATGCAGACAACTGCCAAAAAAACACAGACAGTGGTTTGTTTTTTTTTTTTTTTTTTTCCAATAGAATTTAACAAAGACCAGGAACAAATACAATAAAAAGCCAGGTTGTAATGACCTTTGGTCATCCAAATTAAAAAAAAAAAAAAAAATTAAAAAAAAAAAATTAAAAAAAATCCCCTCCCCAAAAAAACCCCAAAGAAAAACAAAAGATCAAATTCAGTGCCTCTGTTTTGAACAGAGCACGTACGCAATAATAAATAGTGACTCCCATAGTAAAAGATAAAATTTCAAGTTACGACAAACAGCTTTCATTACAGGAATAGAAAAGGCCAATAACAAAATATTCTGCATTGCCATTTACAAAAAAGTATTGACTCAAGCGGGCTTTCTCTTTAATATGCTTTGCATATGAAATTCTTTCCAATCTAAATATAAAGCACCATTTAGTTTTTGGCAATGAAAAAAACTGCAAAACGTTTTTGTTTTTTTTTTTTTTGTCTTTTTTTTTTTTTTTTTTAGCTTTTTTTTTTTTAAGCTTTTTTTTTTTTTCTTCCTTTCTTTCTTTTACTGCATATGAAGGTAAGATGCTGGAATGTAGGGTGATAGAAGGCGAGGGACATAAAGCACACTACGTAACAAACCAACGTTATCAGCTTGCAGTACTGCATACAGTATGGCAGCAGGAAAAAAAGAACAAAAAGATATGTACAACCCTCTGTGACGGCAGCAGCGTGACATTTCAACAGCTTTCCCCCAAGCAGCCATCATATGGCCTCTGATCTGTACAATGTCACGCTTTTTTGTCTTTTTGAAACATACAAATAATTTGCACTATATTATCCTGCCAAATTAAAAAAATATACTGTGGCAGCCTGTTTTTTTTTTTTTTCCACTACCAAAAAAGGTATGTCAATACCTTTTCAGAGAACAAGCAACAGTTAAAAATACAAGCTTCAATATAAATACTATAGTGCCTACACTAGATGAACATTTAATTCAAATACCATTCTAGAAATACAGAAAAAAGAGACCATAAATGTATTTTAGCATAGGAATCAACATGAGTGTGCATTTTCCTATATTTAAGTACTATATAATCTTAAACCTTTCCCCGATGCATGTTTTGTACAACCTGAAGAGCTGTGTATATCAAAGGCATAGAATCTCCACTACCATTTTAAATGAGTAACAAGTCTGGTACACCACCAAGACAATGAACCCTAAAATACAGTTTCCCCCTAAACATAATGAAGTGTCGTTTTTTGTTTCGTTTTGTTTTGTTTTTTTCCTTTTTAAAAAAATTTCTTAACATTTATATTTAAAAAAGTTTTGTACAAAAAAAATCTTCGCACTGTAGGAGCGAAAGCGATCATTTCTGTTATGTGAGTGTAGAGTCTGTATCCATTCACAGCGCTGCAGTGTTGCGTCCAAGGAGATAAGCTCATTACTCAAGTACATGGCTGGCAATGTTTGTTGGTTTTTGTTTGTTTGTTTGTTTAATTATTTTTTTATGTATATCAATGAGATTGTGTTCAATTTTCTTTCTTTTTTTTTTTTCAGCATTCTTGCAACTTTTCCCTTTAAGTATAGACCTGTAAACTGGGAAAATTGTACAGTGCATTTAATTGTCCTATCTGAGCAGTCTTATTTTATACTCAACCTCTGTACCTTCGATTAGAGGAAAGATACAGCCATCACAGGCAGAGTCAAGTGCTATCTGAATACCAACGGGGCAGGTGCTAGCTTAGTGAGAACACAACGAATCCTCTTCCATGTCAACACAAAGAGCACAAAGAGCATGAAAAAAAATGAAGTACAACTTTAGGGAGCACAGACATACACTGCTATTCTTTATCTTTTCTCTCTCTCTTTTTTTTAATTCTCCGTTACTTCTCCAGAGCGTCACATTATAGGCAAGACTTAATAGTTCATAGTTAATCACGGTCATATCAATATTAGCTTATACACCTGCTCTAGTTTATATGGCAAACAGTACCACGTTGTGCTGATAAATCACAATTATTTTCCACTCCTCTATCTGTTACACTCGGTGAAGTATTATTGCCAGTCTTCTTTATTTTTTTATTTTTTTTTTTACATGGTACATGAGCTCTTAAAGTTTATAATTCAATTGTCATCTTGACAACCAAGTGGCTCGGGATTTATTTGTTTTTGTGCCAGAATCAATAAAAGATATTATTAAAAGTAAATATCTTCATAAAACGAATTTCCTTACTTGTGTGTTTAACCACGGTGGAGGGCTCTGCGCATTTCACATTCTATTTAACCATCAGTATGGGGGGGGTACAAGAGTGGGGCAGGGAGCTCCTATCTCTTTGCACGCTCCGGGAGCGAGGCAGTCTCTACCAGCACGAAGGGTCGGGACTGGGAGAGAGCAGGCAGAGGGGGGCTGCCGCCGTCAGGGCTGGGGCTGGGGCTGGGACTGGGGCTGGGGCTGCTCCTCCTCATACGTCCCCACGTCCCCACGTCCTCGCTCCTCACGCGGGCTCAGCGCCGAGATGAGCTACGAGTGCAGAGGGAGCAGAAAGGAGTCGTCAGCATCGCTCGCAAGAGATCCAAGGCACTCAGATTTTGTGTTTTAAACCAAATGAGAATAGGAATTTACCTCTCAGTTACCGGTGGCGGAGGGCTGGGCTTCAAGTAAAGGCCTGTTCCTAAGCGGTACTCTGTCCAATCGACACGTTTATTCTTTTAAGACAGAAATCTAGCTAACATGACGCCTCTTCAGTGCTATCGGTCCTGTCCGCAGAAGGTTACCCAGAGCGCGCATTCCTTCACACGTCACAAAACAAAACTGTACATGATATGTATTACAGGATGTATGCAGCATGGTCGGTTCTGTTTGCTCTTGTTTTTGTTTTGTTTCGATTTTCTCTTTTCCTCTTTTTTTTTCTTTTTTTTTCTTTTTTTTTTTTCTTTTTTTTTTTTTTTCCCAAACGGAACTGGAAACAGCGACATGTTTGCTCAGCAACTAATCAGGGACAATTTAAAAAATAGCCATAACATACCATACATGCTGTCTAATTCAAAATAAAAAATAAAACAAAAACAAAAACATACACAACATGTAAATTATTGCACAAGAGAAAGGCTCAAAGTTTGCGTAAAATGCAATAGTATTGCCCCGATACAGATCATGCATTCAAACGGTGAGAACAAAAAGAAAATAAACAGGTGTGCTGGTGACAAGCACTTTCCAAATTTCCTTAGCTTCCATTAGTTTAATCACAAGGGACTAAAAAACCTCTACAGGGAGCCGGGGCAGGGACGGGGAGTATTAATATACCTCTATTCAGTTTTTATCTCATTATTCAAGACTCGATCACTGTGCCATTTTTTCATGTGTTTCTCCAGGGTACTGTACACGCTAAAAGGCATCTTACAAATCTCGCATTTGTAAACGTCCTTTCCCACCTGACCATGTGTTTTCATGTGCCGAGTGAGCTTGCTACTCTGGGCGCAGGCGTAGTTGCAAAGCTCACACTTATAGGGCCGCTCGCCCGTGTGGCTCCGTCTGTGGACAGTGAGATTACTACAGTTCTTGAAGACTTTCCCACAGTACTCACAAGTGTCGCTGCGTCTGCCCTCTTTTGAGCTGGGCCTGCCAGGGCCCGGGCCACTAATATGCGGGGTGCTCCCTCCACTTCCCGTGCCGCTTCGGCCCGAGATGCCACCATCCAGCTCTCCCGGCGGCGTGGAGAAGCGCAGGCTGCCATTCTCTGATGAGTGCTCAGAGGAGGAGGCGAAGGGCGATTGTCGGGAGTCACCGAAGCTGAGGAAGGGGTCCTTCAGCTGCCGCGAGGCAGCGTAGCCAGCCAGCCACTGCGAGTACACATTTTCGGTGTTGGGCATGGCGGCGGTGGGTAGGTCGAACTCCTTCTCCAGCTTGATGCGTTTGGAGAAGGGGCTCAGGGAGCTGGGACTACCTAGCAGCAGCTTTTTGGACAGGCCGCCTGAGGCAGACTCCCCAGGGGAGCAGCCCCGGCCGTTGACCGCCCCGTCGTCAATGCGGTCGGACTCACCAGCCACCGAGTCTTCATCGCAAGTGTCCCTGTGTACCTCGGCCTCGGAGAGGTGGCCCCGTTTGTGCTTCTCCCCCAGCACCTGGTGGAAGGCTTCGCTGAAGTGCTGCATGGAGCTGAGAACCATACCTTGCATGACATCTGGCATCGACCGGCTCTCCTCTCCGGCCCGCGAGTTGTTCTCGTGGTGGTGGGCCGCCTCCAGGTTCATCCCAAAGCCATAATCTGGCCTCTCATTCTCGGTCAAGTCCTCCTCTTCTTCCTCCTCCTCTTCCTCCTCCTCCTCCTCCTCTTCCTCTTCCTCCTCATCTCCATTCTCAGGGATCATGTTGGGGTCATTCTCACTCTTGAACTTGGCCACCACTGACTTGAGGGCACTGCTGGCACTGCCAACCAGGTCACTGGTGCCGGGCTCAGGGGAGCTGGCAGTGGAGAGCCCATCATCAGACTTCACTGTCATGGGTGATGACTTGTGCATGTGTGTCTTCATGTGGCGCTTCAGTTTGCTGGCCTGAGTGCAGGCATGGTCGCACAGGTTGCACTTGTAGGGTTTCTCCCCAGTGTGGCTTCTGCGGTGGACCACCAAGTTGCTCTGGAACTTGAAGGTCTTCCCACAGAACTCGCAGGACTTGGACTTCATTGGTGGCTGGGAGGGAGGAGGAGCGGACTGCAGAGGAGGAAGAGGTGGTGTGGCCAAGAACGGGGGTTTGCTGCCAGGCTGGAAGGGCTGCAGCAGCCTTTGCATAGGGCTGGGCCGGCTCGGGGACAGGGGCGGACTGGAGGTGTTGCCGGCCAGCTCCCGCAGCCGCCGGGAGAAATCCATAGCAGGGGGCTCCATTGCCATGGGGTTCAGTCGCAGCACCCTGTCAAAGGCACTAGGGTGATGGGTGGCCAGAGCCATTTCTTCGGCACCCAGGCGCTCTATGCGATGCGGATCCAAATGGTGCCTCGGGGGAGGGCTAAAGAGGGGCGGCGTGGGTGGGAATCGCCCTTCTCCCAGCCCTGACGCCTCTCTCGAGACAGAGCCAGGTATTCTGAGCAGGTTAAAAGGGTTATTGTCTGCAATGTGAATCCCATGGAGAGGTGGCTGGGAAGGGCACTCTGCACCTAGTCCTGATGGGATACCAACCCGTGGTGTCAGGGGGCTGCCATGCTCGCTTTCTAGGTAGATCCGTAAGCCGTGCGTATTCTGTGCGTGCTGCAAGAGGAACCAGGCGCTGTTGAAAGGTTGTTTACAGGTCGTGCACGTGTAGCTGCTGGGCTCTTCTTTACCTGCAAAACAACACAACAGCAGCGTAAATGTTTAATCGCATCCACGCCTGAGCTGTCCTACCACACAAGGCCACAGCCAAGTGGGGAGAGGGGAGCATTCAGGGCTGGAGGAAGCTCCACTCCACTTCCCAGCTCAGAACTGAACTCAGAACTGTGGAATAGGGCCCGGACCAGGGAGAAAGTTGCATACAAACAGGGAGTGGGCTGGAGCACTGCAGATGGGCTCAGGCTGGTGAACGGCATGGCAGCAGGGAGCAAGCACACTGTTACATGGTCATTTATTTTGGGAGATAACATGGGCATTACAAAGGAGTGACCAACCAATAAATAATTAAACAAAAAGCAAGCTAATAATGGCATAAGAAAGCAATCCCTGATGATATTAAAAAGCAAGAGAAATCAATAACTTTTTGAGGGCATAAGGGAAGAGCAGTGGGAGATAGGGAGACAATGAGCACGTTTCCATCAGTCCTGGTAAGTTTGTGCATAAGCAACTTCCATCTCTGTATGCAATTGTTGCTCAATGCTGGTAACTTGCAACAAGAGCTAAGATGAGCACAAAAAATAATTTCCAGTCCTGCCTAGCTGTTCTATAGAGATGCTATTTCAGTGATTTAGAAAAAAAAAAAAAAAGAAAAAAGAAATAAAAAAAAAACCACCCCTGAGATTTGCCAAGTACAAATAACAAAAATACCCCCAGGGTCTTCCCAAGCAAGCTGTGCCCAGGGGACTCCCAGCTCCAGCCAAACCTCTGCAGGTAAATCTCAGCATGAGACAATGTGAGAGATACCCAAATAAGGTTTAACACAATTGCCTAGTATGAAGAAATGGGAATTAAAGGAAAGAGGGAAAAAAAAAAAAAGCAAATATGGAAAGAAAACATAATTTTATCCACAACCGTCTTGTTTCCCATCTCCGTTGAGGAGAACAGCTTCATCCAGATGTCATACAATGAGCTGAATGGTGAGACGGGAACAGCAGGGAGGCAACCAGCAGCACCACCAGCAGAGAAATGCTGCAGCCACCCGCTTCCTCCATCATTACACATTTGGCCTGACAATCTGAATTGGGTGAGTAAAACACACCTTGGCCATCTCCAGCAGGCATTTAACACTTTAAGCCACTTTAAAAGCTCTTGGAATAATATTTGACATCTCGTCCTTCAACTGCAGCCAGCGTTCAAATAAAATGCATCGCAGTGCTTGCTATGTGCCAGGCATGCGAGTGCAGATAAATACTTAAATCTGTTGAAATTAGAGCAAAATTCAATTGGGCTTTCACATTCACTCTGCTCATTTGTGAGCTCAGGAAAAAGGAAGAAAGGAAGAAAGGAAGAAA